TGTAGGAATAGTGTGTGTTGAAATGTTTGTACGTTTAGGAATGTATGTGTGTGTGTGCGGTGGTAAGTATTGTAAATTAGTAAAATTGATATCGCTGATATTGTTAGTATTGCCCTCCACGACGGTTCTTATGTCTTCGATATCCTCTTCGATCCCTCCAGGGGCGGTGTCTCGCAAAGATGCAGCCCTTTTCGGTGGTACACCTTCGTCCGAGGAAGTGGTCTGATAACGTAATGGTTTGTTAACCACACGCTTTGGTCGCTCGTCTGTCATCTGTAAGCGAAAGTATATCTATTAATTTTTAACAATATGTAGCATATATGTAGCATTGGCATCATAATACGTAGCAAAGAAATTTTGCATTGTTAAGACACGAGAAATCCGTTTGTACATTATAATTGTGCCATATTTACAAAATAACGATATGCCACAAATTTTATTTTATCAAATTCTAGATATCTTATGAGCTATATTACTCTTACCTTTTGCCTATTAATAAAAATGTTATGTATTTATAATTTCCTTCTGGAGAAACTTAGAATTTTTATATGTTTGTTGTTGAAAATTAAATTGACAATTGCAATTGTAAGCACATGTATACTCAGAGACAATTTATATCAAAATGAATATATTACGATACTGAGAGTACAATGAATATGATTAATGAGCATATACAGGTGAAAATAAATAAGGAATCTGCTGCCATGTATTCCATTTTGAGGAAAGCATAACATTAATATATCAAGAATATGAAGAAGATATTCCAACCGCAAAAGAAAAAAGAATTTTGGAGAAGAAAACGCTTAACACGCAATACGCTTGTGCATATGATAAGATGCATGAGATCCAATACCTAACAATAGCCATTTCCTGGAAAGGAAATGCAAGAATAACAGAGTGTGTAAAATTGGCAAAATTCAAGAGATGCAAAGAAAAGGTGATATCATATTACGTCTCGTGCAACGTTTTATCAGCTCGGCTCAATAAACATCTTGTAAATGTAAGTATCAAAATTGTTGCAAATAAATGTTACATCTACTCGCTATGTATAATAACAGCGACAATGTATTGAGTTTCCAAATTATTTTCTTCATCATTGTCGCTATCGTCTGTGAATGTACAATCCCAAAAAGGCATTCTATAACATTTTGCACGAACTTCTTGTACAGGAATATAAAATAACTCGTTGCTCAATGTAGAACACTTGTACAACTGAAAACATGAAGATACCATACCAACATCGTAAAAATCATCAATACATAAAAATCTTCTCACAGCTAAACGGTAA